TCCGCACGGGGTGCTGCCTTTGCGGCTGGAGCGTCCTTGTCGAGTCCGCCAGTCGTCGCAAGGATATGGCGCTGTTCGTCGCCCCGCGGGCCATGGCGACGCTGCTGCCGCGGCGGTACGGCATGGACAAGCAGTGGAGAGAGACGCTCGTTTTCGCCGCCAGCACGGCTGTTGTTTTCACTTGTATCCATGAGAACCAGACCCGTGTACGCGGCGTGCTGGGCGGTGTATTGGGAATGGTCTTGCGCAACTAGAAAAGAGAGAGATTGTGTTTTTTGCTGGGGGAGTACACACTTCTCAGCGTCGGTTAGGGGGTTCCTTACATGGGAACAAAAAACGAGTGTTTTGAATAGAGATACTGAAGATGGTTTAGATTCTGAGTACACTTTTCATACTTGTACTCTTTCTGTTACAATAATGAAGCTGGGCCGGAGCGAATGGGTTCTGGTATTAGAGCGTTTGTTAGTTTATTGTACTAGAACAAGAAACGCAGAAAGATGCCATGGCAGGCTTTCTGCTACCCAGTACATGTTGGTACCGTGATTCAGCGAGAGACGAGAAATGCGAATCAAGTGTGAGACATCCATAGCGGACTTGACCCTCCAGTGCAGCTTCCCGCCGCCATGCCACTTCGTGCCCAAATGTTGGTCTTCAAACTGACGCATTGGAATGCACTCGGATGCCACCAGCGACGGCCATCCAAGCACACCTTGGTAGATCTATCGCACAGCCATACTAAAACCTGTGTCGTGACCTATCATATGATGAGAGCCAGGTTCCTTTTTCTACTTATAAACGAATAGGTAGTTCTCCGACAGTGTGATTTCGACGGTAAACTTTACCTACAACACCCTCACTATTGATGCCATGTGCCGGGGACGCACACATAGGGGAGCCTAAAGAATACTAGATAGCTATCCTATAAGATACCACCTTCAAGATAGTCTTGCGCTCGTAATTTGGTTTTGCATACCGTGAAATGCAACATCAAAGCTGCTATGAAAAGCCCTGAAGGAGGGCGTTCCTCGTAGCAATTTCCTGATCAACATGAGAAAACTTCAGATCCAGAAAGACGATTTCGATTACACTGATCGATGAAGTGCTGTCACTTGAGATGGCCGACTACTTCATTTTCTCACAGACTTTGTCCAGTGACACCGCATCGAAGGAAAGTAATAAATGCCTCTCTAAGATAGAGGAATGATAAACAGCCGAGCCGACCTATTTACGTAACACGGTGAATTCCTAGAAACGCGGGACCACCAAATAACATGGCCGGCGACCATCCGCCTTCGGCCCGGAGTTGAGTTGAGTTTCGGGGATACGCCTGGAGCGGGGCAATCCAGGGATCAACTCCGGCGTCCCGGGGGTTTGTCGTCCAACCGGCCATGTACCTCGGTCTGATCCTTCGGCTTGGCGTAACCCTTTTACCAGAGTCCCGATTGTCTGCGAGAGAAGAGGTGGTGGCCGAGACCGACGACTTGCGGCGAAACTCTAGCATCTCTTTTGACAAGCTGCTTTGTCGAAGAAATACGGAGTACTGAAAGCCAATATATCCCAGGTCTTGACGGTTGGGAGCTCTCACCGCAACACATGAGTCAAGAACCAATGGGCGTCGTCAACCGACATTAAACAGGAAAAGCTTGGTAAACAACGTTACTACGTAGAGCCGGAGGCTTCTCCGCCGCAATGGCACCCCCTTTCAACAAACATTACCCTCTTCTACAGTTGTGCCAACCATTTCCCCTGCTGACCGGGTTACCTTCCACGCATTGGCTTCTTTGTCCAAGGAGCCAGACAATCAATCGCTTTCAGTGGCATCAAACCAGGATCAAATCACTCAGATTAAAGGGAAGAAAAGAAAAGCAGACAAGGGCCAAGAGAACTAACCAGGAACAGCGAAAACTCTAATATGCTCAGCTTTTCTTACCAGATAAACAAAGTATCCACTTGCCACCTACAGTTTGTCAAACTCCTCCCATCGCAACTGGTAAAGCAGAGTCCCCGTCGTGACGTGCCTCTTTCTGGTGAAAGATAGCTCAAGATGATGGATGTTCAGTCTATGTATATTGGCAAGCTTTACTCCCCTTGCTTGGATCTTGTCCCGGCCCGGCCGTTCCTTCGGGATCGGAATGCTTCCAACCAAGTCCAGGACCTCCTGGTGGTTCGGAATTACAATAGTTGGTGTTGATGGCGTGTGTCATTTGGTTGGGTTCGTCCCACCCCCGGGATATTCGTGATCATGACCAAGGTTCCCGGTGGGATATTCATGTATATATGTTTCTACAGCACCTGCTCTGATTGCTGAATCATGTTGAAGCAGCCAGCACTCCCTGTTCCCGGGGTTACATTCTCGGACTGTCCATTCACTCGTTCATCTCTCTCTCCCTCTCGCTTTTGTTTCTTCATCGAGAAACTCCAATCTCGACCTCACATCTCACGCAATCTCCTTCCTCCGACCTCAACAGCAGATCTGCCGCGCTGCCAAACTTCACAAATCTCATAATGCGCCTCTCCCTCCTCGCCACCGCGGCCTCACCCGCCGCCGCCCTCATCGCAGGAACCCCCTTCCACAGCACGCCCAACACCCGCAGCATCGCCGCAAACACGACCCTCCCCGTAACCTTTGGCGCAGTCCTCTTCCAGGCAATGGAAATGCTAGACCTCATCGGCCCCATCGACGCCCTCCAGCTCGTAGCCTACAACCGACACGTGAACCTCCACCTCATCGCCGCCACCCTCGACCCCGTCACCACGGCGCCCGTGTCCCCGACTTCCAACACCTACAACTCGTCCTGGTGGCCGACGTTCCAGCCCACCAACACCTTTGACGACGACCTGGACCTCGACGTGCTCATCCTGCCCGGCGGACCGGGCGTGCGCGCCCCCGGGCTGGAGCCGATCGTCGAGTACGTGAGGAAGCACGCGCCCAGGGTCAAGTATCTCGTTACGATTTGCACGGGGGCCAGTCTAGCTGCTAGGGCGGGCGCGCTGGACGGCAGAAGGGTTACGACGAATAAAGCGGCTTGGGGGTTGATTACTGCGCAGGCGCCGCTGGCTAAGTGGGTTTCGCCGGCGAGGTATGTTGTTGATGGGAACGTCTGGACTTCTTCGGGTGTAAGTTGCTTTTTGATATTTTACTATTTGATCCCTTTTTGCGAGAGAAAAGTGGGAGCGTGTGGAGGAATCGAGAAGAATTGTACTGACTGATGCGTGGGTTAGGTTACATCTGGTCTGGACTTGATTATGGAGTTCATCAAGCAGGTGTATGGCGAGGAGTTGTCAACCAAGGTTGCCACAATCATGGAGTTTGTCCCCCATGCTGCTGACTGGGATCCATTTGCGGAAATCAACGGCGTCGAACCGACGTACAATTGATAGTCTTGTGGCTTCGAGGCGGTTAGATAGAAGGAAAGATAGAGGTAGCAACTCGGAGCACGGGTTTACTTTGATGTTGAGGATAATAGAGCGCATGGTGGTGGTGCAACCTGATTCCATTCGCAGTACAAAGTCAGCTTGTTTAGCATTGATTTGGCATAGAAGGTCCGTTTTACGCTGATCCGTCGTCCTTGATAGAAAGTATCGTGCTCAAATAGTCCGGTTGGTGAAGAGTGAAAATCATTCACTCTACTCTTGACTGCTCGGATGATATGAAGGCGTCGAACGTTTAGAGAAAGCTCTTTACCTGGCAGCATTTACATTTTTAGTGAGTGAACGCCGTAGCAGGGAAGATCTGGGAACGCCTCGATTTAAACTGAACCGCATCGCCCATTGGAATTCACTTACATCGTCCCATTGCGTGAGAAGTAGACGGGGTCAAACGTGCGTTAGCCGGAGCGAGATATTGACGCTGTTAGCAGACTTGTTCCTGGCACCATTCTCATCAAATCCATCGCATGACCCTCCTGATGATTGATGAACATTGCCGGGATGTAAGCTAAGCAAACACCATGAATGTGATCAAGGCCGGAATTCTCATGAAAACGCATGGCACGCCTAGGTAGTTGACCAACATATGTTGGCAACAGGGGTCTCATCGACGCTTGAGAAATACACGACGCAGATTCGCATGGAGGCTCAGAGAGAGCTCGGGATGAGTCGCCAACAGAGATGTGAATATCGGTATGTCCAATAAGACCTTTATGACGAAGACAGGGGCCCCTATTATCACTATGTTTGCGTGGTCCCCAGAAGTACACATAGGCTTGAGTGAACCCGTGGCTCACCTATGACAGGTAGTTGTAGGAGCTGTCAGAGATTCTCCAAGACTTGTAGACTTTGATATCTTGCAGTCAAGTCGATGGAGGGTCGATGCCAGAAGTAATAAGACGGGGAGGTGAGCAGAGGATGCCTGTGTTCTACTCCGATGAGACGAACTTCTGTACTGAAAAATTCAAGAGAACGAGTTGAGATAATCCGTGAGCCTGTTGAGCTGCGACATGTTCTCCTACTGCGTTCCTACGACGAGAGTCGGCTGGCCACTAACACCAGAAATGGCGCTCATCAAGGTTGCATCTCAGGTACCGGATAGCAAGCACGTTCGTGCTTGCAAACATGTCTTTATAGCACCCGTGTATGCTCCACGGCAAGTTGAATGAGACACAATTCGAGGAAAAGAAATCGAGCTGCCATGGTATGCGCGAGACGGTTGCCTCAATCCCATTGATGTACTTGCGTTCGAGGCCCATGGCCTTCCAAGGATTCGTGGGGGACGCGTGGGGGACATCTCTGCATAATTTGAGATGACAATCATCATGGAGATCGAAGCGTTAGTTCTGCACAACGGCATAAGTCAAATGTGCGGCATTAATCGTGCACCAGCCCACTATGTCGAGCTTGGACCAACTTATGTCAGGTAAGTCCACGTCAAAGTCAAACCCTGCACAATTTGCTGGTGGGGTAGTCAGCTCGGTATAAGTCACCGCTCACCGAGGCACAAAGAATGCTCACCGAAACTGGATATTTCGAGGAGCCATAACCGAGAAATGCCGTTTGGCCTGTCATGATTTCTTATAGAAGAGACAGCTGGTCTCGTACTTCAATCCGGTATTCCGTGACTGTACGGGACAAGCATATAGCCACATCCCGGGTCTTGCCCGCCAGACAAGGATGAACACTCTGCCGGCAACTCGAGCTTCATCTTCACGATATCTCACGAATGCCATCATCCGGAACATTTTCATAGACAGCTGGCCCGGGATCGTTAGGCGCAATAGAAGAATCCACAGATTATGCAAGTCCAGCGGTCTATGGCGAATCATCTACACCAAATATTCCCGGCTACCTGACTTACACGCGCCCGCCTCGTACAAACGGGCTGCCGAGTGTACCCCACTGGGCGTTAGATACGAACCCCTGGGCTCATGAAGAATCTCAGAGGCTAGTGTAAAGTCGCTGGTAGATGAGACGAGGTTCCAGATCCCCAGGCACGAGGTGCTGTACCCCGGCTCGGCAAAGTGTAGCTTAATGTACGGCATCGGGGCAGGTAATCGGGAGGAACCGGAGCGGAAATCTGGGGTAGCTCGGGTCGAACCTCGACGAGAGACGCATCATTCCGGGGGCGGCTGGCGGCAAACGGGGCCTGTAGGAAAGCTCGGTTCTTGCAAGGCCGCCACATTGCTGCCGTGGTCCATGTAAGTCTCGTGTACCCAGTCAAAGGTGGACTTGGGAAGGGAGGGAACGGGAACGGCGAGTACAGTACGTAGTCGTGATGATGTGGGCTTGCGGATGGGACGAGCGTCAACGACATCGTGCTAGCCACAAGGCTGATGACACGGCTGTCATTCCGTCAATTCGTAGGGCGGATTTGAGGCCTTAGGCACAGTGGCACAGCAGTACCATGATCTGACAATATCTAGTCGTCAGATCTCAGGAACCCCTTATCAGACCGAAATGAGATGTGCTGAATAATTTGGCCGAGAGATAGCTTGTCCATGTTGGTTTAGACCGTGGTACGGCCAGAAGCTCGTCCGGGGGGCTGGTGTCGTACGGCGTTGGTAGCGGATGGATGAGTGACGGTAGAGTCATATCATGCTGAGTCGATCGATGTTTGGACCATACAAAATGATCCAACTGCCAAACCTGGGCCCTGTCGGGCGTCTGGCGATACGATACGGCCATGCAGGCCTCCGTGGGCAGCGGTCAACACATAGGCCGCGGCATTGACGTTTGCGGGTATCCTCGGTAGGGATATCGTCATTCCCGATGTCATCGGAAGTTGAGAGTTGTTATAGGCGAAGCCAGGAGCATTTGGGGCCGACGAAGCCGTGATGCTCCGGCGTGTCGGGCCAGCCGGGCTCGCTTGGTAGCTCATTGGGTTGGGTGAGTCGAGAGGCAGATCTCGGGCCCCACCAAGCGCCGGAACGCACCAGCCCTGTTTTGATGGACCGACTTTGCATTGGAAGCGGCCGGCCAAGACTGTGAGTGGCAGAATTGGGTGGCGTGTACATTTGGCATCAGTCATGGGTGAATTGACGGATGGGTGGATGGCATTCGTAGGCGAGGTATCTGTACAAGTTCTCCAATTGAATTCGAAGGGTTTGGACGAGCATGGATGCCTTTCTTTGCACGCAAACTGTTTTCTTCGACTCCGATGACTCCTTTGCTCCAACACGGACGACGGAGCCAGAAATGGTGCGGTCCATCTGGGGGTGACCGAGAACGGAGTCGTAAACGGGCCTTCTCGATCATCATATTTCTCTAAGCTAAAATCGGCCGAGTCGAGGCTGGAAGTGCCTCATGCACCAGGCAACGTGTTTCATTAGCTGGGCTCAGTCGAGCTTGGCGGGTTGAGCGATGGAGCATTGAGTGATTTATGGAGCTGGGGTCAGTTTTTTTTTTGTTCGATATCTAACAGTAAAGGTAAGGTAAGCTGAGCTAGACTTTTGAGTAAGAGAGTGCGGTGGGAGCGAGCGGACCATACGCATACGGTACATACCTCAGGGTCGTGTAGGACTAGGGGGGATGGGAGGCGGAGGAGGAGGGGCCGTGGGAGCTTTGGCGCGGGATGAATGGTGAGGTGTGCGAATGAGCTGTTTGAACCTTGTGGCATGTCGTGTCTTGAATCCAGTTGAGGATGTTTAATAATAACAAGAGTCCACCAAAATAAACTGGAACGGTGAGAAGATCACATAAAAAAAGACGCCCGAGAATTTGGAGTGGACCACGGTGCCACGGCGCCACGGGCAGATGTTGCATGGAGGTGGCAGTGGCAGTGTGTGAGAGGTGTGAGAGCGAGCAAAGCGTGCAAAGCGTGCAATGGGAGGCAAAAGGTGAGTCGACGGGGGTATCGGACCTGGTGCTGCTGCTGTGACCGGGGGGTAGCTGCGAAAGTGATGTAACGAGGGGCAGGCCAGCAATGAGGAGCAGGGGCCAGGGATAAGGTGCCGTAGCTGACTTTTTTTTCTCGCTGGAAACCAAGGGAACAAGCTGCCCCTCCATGCCCCTCCATACCTGACAATTCCTGACCCTTGATAATGCCTGCTATTGCTTGAGTCGTTGGTCGGTCCGGTCTGTCTGATGAAAGTGACACCACCAGCCAAGACCCGCTGAAGAAATGGATATGGATGAGCTGAGAGTGTTGCTGGAATGGAGAGAAAACAAGTTATTGATGAGTAGTCCATCATGAGATGCCCGAGATACGGGCAAGATGCAAGATGAAGGCTGGAGCACAGACAAAGTTGAGGTGTCAAGAAAAAGTAGTGAGAAGGAAGGGGGGGATATCGAACGCCACGACAGACCCGTCAAACAATGCAGCCTGCGCCTGCGTCCCATCCGAGCTTGGGGTCTTTCTTCCATGGGATGGCAAGCCGCATGGAAGACGGACTGTGAATGCTATGTAGATTGGATTGGTAAAACAACAGCGCATCGCATCCCACCATGATTGTGTTCCAATCCCATCATAGCAATTGGTCCAGAAAACCACCAAGTACCCGGAGGGTATCATACTAACGCCACGAGCGGTAGCAGCGCCTTCCCGCTGGATGCCCCGCCATGTCCGTAAAAAGACGCAACTGGCACCTGCTTGGACTGAGTGGGTGAGAGGCAACGAGAGGGACTCTGTACTCAGAAAGAGGAGGAACAATCCCTAATTACCTAGGTAGTATTGGAGAGATACGGAGAGAAAAAGGTACGGAGTACGAGACACGCGTTACGGGGGGGAGCTCTACCTAGCCCGGTCAAGCACAAAGTGAGGTAAGGTAAGAAAGGTACCTCCTACCTCAGCTCAGATAGCAGAAAAAGTGTGTCACTCACCCAATTCCCTGGCGTCGACCGGGCAATCACCACCAACTCACCACCCTCAATCGCCGAGTCACCTCACCGTTCTCGGGGCGTCTGGATCCCCCCCATTGGACCCCCCTGCGGAGTGGCCGTACCTGGTACTTCCCTAACTTGCGTCAGGTCCGCCTTCCATTGACCTCCCACTCCCACTCTTGCCTGCCTCTTGCCTGCTCTTGCCATGGCCGCCGGTCTTGCGTTGGATCGACCAGCAGGAGGACCACCCCACCATCTTCCCTCAACCGAATTTACTATATCTCGCGCGCCCTTCCACCACCTCCCATCACTTCCGTTCCTTCCTCCTTCCTTCTTCTGCCATTGAAAATTCTCTCCTACACATCAATCCATCTCTGACCTCGTCGAATAACCCGACGTGATCCCATTCCAAGGTAAGACCTAGCTCTCGATAGCTCCCTCAAGCTCTACATACCTCACGTCTTCATCACCCCACCCCGCTACCGCGAAAAAATACCCCGCCTACCTTGGACATATCGGAAACGCCCGTCCTTCACCAACGCCTGAGAAAACTCAACTAACTCTCTCAACCGTCAGACATACCCCAAATACAAATCACATCAGACAACATGGCTCCCATCAAGGTCGGCATCAACGGCTTCGGTCGTATCGGACGTATCGTCTTCCGCAACGCCGTCGAGCACCCCGAGGTCGAGATCGTTGCCGTCAACGACCCTTTCATTGAGACCAAGTACGCTGTGAGTATCACCCCACTTTACCCCTCCATCATGATATCGCGTCTGCCACGATAACACCAGCTTCGTCGGTACCCACGGCAAAAGAGTCAGGACTAGCACTCTCGACTTTTTTGCCCCAGGGTTTCGATTGGGCTTGTTGTAATGACACGACGTGACACAATCATGCAGAAACAACCGAGACAGAACTTGCTGACAGACAATCATCACAGGCCTACATGCTCAAGTACGACTCCACCCACGGCATCTTCAACGGCGACATCCAGCAGGATGGCAACGACCTTGTCATCAACGGCAAGAAGGTCAAGTTCTACACTGAGCGTGACCCCGCTGCCATCCCCTGGAAGGACACCGGCGCCGACTACGTCGTCGAGTCTACTGGTGTCTTCACCACCATCGACAAGGCGAAGGCCCATCTTCAGGGCGGTGCCAAGAAGGTCGTCATCTCTGCTCCCTCTGCTGATGCCCCCATGTACGTGATGGGTGTCAACGAGAAGACCTACGATGGCAGCGCCGACGTTATCTCCAACGCTTCTTGCACCACCAACTGCTTGGCTCCCCTCGCTAAGGTCATCAACGACAAGTTCACCATCATTGAGGGTCTCATGACCACTGTCCACTCCTACACTGCCACCCAGAAGACCGTTGACGGTCCCTCCGCCAAGGACTGGCGTGGTGGCCGTACCGCTGCTCAGAACATCATTCCCAGCAGCACTGGTGCCGCTAAGGCTGTCGGCAAGGTCATTCCTGAGCTCAACGGCAAGCTCACTGGCATGTCCATGCGTGTGCCCACCGCCAACGTCTCCGTCGTTGACCTGACTGCCCGCATCGAGAAGGGCGCCAGCTACGACCAGATCAAGGCTGCCATCAAGGAGGCTGCTGAGGGTCCCCTCAAGGGTAAGCTATTAATCTCAACCCATCGGAATCACCGAAACACAAGCTAACTATCTCCAGGCGTCTTGGCCTACACTGAGGACGACGTCGTCTCCACCGACATGATCGGCAACCCCAACTCCTCCATCTTCGATGCCAAGGCCGGTATCTCCCTCAACGACAACTTCGTCAAGCTCGTCTCCTGGTACGACAACGAGTGGGGATACTCTCGCCGTGTCCTCGACCTCTTGGCCCACGTTGCCAAGGTTGACGCCTCCAAATAAATGTGCGGTACACATGAGGCTGTCGCGGAGGGGAAACAGGACCAAAAGTGTCCATTAATGAGATGATAAACCAACGACCAAACAAAAGCAGTAAAATGAAGATGGGCAAGTCTTTCA